AGAGGATCACTGCAGACCCCTCACACCCTGGACACAATCTGTTTGAACTCCTCCCCTCTGGACAGCGTTACAGGTCACTGTGCACTAAGACAACCAGGCACAGGGACAGTTTCTTCCCCTGTGCTGTCACTCTGATGAACACTTAACCAATGACAATATGACTGGACAAAAACCCTCAGTGCAATACCTGTGTATATATACACATTGTACAGATTATACAAATCTGTACAGGTCTCTATTTTTAAGTACTCTGTTTTTATTCCCATTTATCTCATTTCGCAATGAACATTCCTTTGTCTGTCTGCATTGTTTACTGCCTGTTTATACTGCTTACTTTGCATTGTTTGCACTGTTTGCTGCTTGTTAATACTGTTTATTTTGTTATACTACACAGCCTTATGTTGTTTTACTGTCTAATTGCCCGTTGCATGGGGATATGTACATGCACACTGAGAGCTGATGTACCAGAGTCAAATTCCACGTGTGTCCGACACACCTGGCCAATAAAGCTGATTCTGATTCTGAGAGAGGTGTGACAGCTGCTCCTTAAGTAAGGTGTTAATCCAGTGCAAGACCCTCCCCAAAGTCCTTCTGACCACGACTGTAACTGTCGGACCATTTAAAAGAACGGCCAACACAGCCACAAATCTGTAGCAACAAGGTTTTTACATGTTTACACTGCTCCAAATGTTGACTGAGGCCACCCATACAATCCAGGGGAAGGCCAGGGACAGGAAAACATCTGTGCAAGATTATCAGCTGTTCTTGCAAAGTGTTTTATCAGAGCAAAGGATATCCCTTAGGTCAGCACAGTAGAACTATAAAGCTTGCCCATTGGTGGTGATGGTGTCAAATGTACATTAAAAATGTGAAACTCCACTGAAAATACTGTAGCTGAAAATGCAGTGATGAGTGCTAATTAACTGCATTATTACTTAGCATCATCTATAAACTCAAAGTGTAAAACAAATAGAACTAACAGTATCAAGAGTTCCTCAAGTACAGTTTGTACTTTTCAGTAAAAGCCCTCGGACTGGACCATCGTTCTTCTCTCCATCCAATTCCAAATCCATTATCATAAACACCAGATCAAAGCTCGCCCTCTGTGTATTTATGCTCATCAGAACGAGAGCCTACAAGTGCTTCATCAAAGGTTTAGCCACAGCAGGGATGAATATCTGAGCGGAAAGTAAATCTGCACAATAATGCGAGTGGAGAGTTTACATGACAAAGCTTCCACATGGCTCTCTGTGTGTCAGTCTCTGTTCTGCCGCTTTAGATAAGCTGCTGAACGTGTCCTGTTCAGAATTATGAGCAAACAGACTATCCCTCCATTTTATGGCGACTCTGGATGAGTAAGCTGTTATAACAAAAACTTTTGATGATATTAATGTATGCTGTTGATGCCAAAATCTAAATCATGGATGAGACTTTGTTGAATCCTGAAGTTATTAAAGTTTGTGACATTTTCATGATAGTATGTCTCTATGCAAACATAAAATCAAACTGTTCTTAACTGAATTGGTTATATGCAACAAGAATCAGCCTTCAATTCACACTAATTTTAAGATGGAACTTTGGGTTCCATAGAGCTCATCCTTTCATCCTCCTAAGAACAACCTCACCTGCATGTCACGCTGGGTGATGAAGCCCTTGTTCTCAATGTCACAGATCTGGAAGAATTCGTGGGTCTTCTCCAAGATAGTGTTTTGTCCCATGTCGTCCTCCCCATATGTCCCCTCCTCACTGTTTCCTTGCCTTTTCCATGCAGTTCGGGCTACCCTGCTGGTCGAGGTACTGGTGTTGGCACAAGAAGCAGTAAAAGTTGCCATGGTATTTGTGAGTCTGTTGATATAAGAGCGTTTTCCTGTGTCCTTCACATGAGCCAGGCACAGACAGAAGTGTGGAGCAAAGAGATCGTAGAGAAGTCGAGCTTCAGGCTGTATATCAGAGGCATTCACCAATGTCACCGCTTGTCATCACTTAGCAACCATCTCTTTAATTAGTCGATGAAACCTAGGAGAGATACAGGAGGAGAGTCGTCAGTTAAAATAAGTACAGCCCCTGGTCCAATGAACAAAATTCATAGCAACACTCACTGTATATACAGCCTCAAAATCACATATTACATTATGTAAACCCAAATGTTCATTAATCTTCACTCTCTTTCTATCAATCACATTTTGATGCTGATGTGGAATGTTAAACATGGGCCACTGTGTGATGTGCACCACACCAGCTCCTCTGTTTCACTTGAACTAATGTCATCTGTAAAGTACACCCAAAACTAAAAATAAAGTTGCCTTATGATGAGGAGAGTCCTGTCTCTGATTGATATGAGTCACTTAGTGGTGGGTTTCATGCAAAACGCAGCTCTATGTGCGTTGGTTTGTCTTCCGGGAGCTGTTGTCTACCGTGACACGGCTCAGTTAGTTCATGTGTGCGTTGTCCCACACAAATGTACATGTACACTATGTAGGCAGGTGAAGCGGCAGAAGATAATACACAGTCAGACAGGTGATGCACACACAGACACACTACAGGACCTTCTAACTCTAGTACTGGTAGAAGTATATTTGTTGCTCATAAGAATTTTTAATGAATGTATGAAACACATACAGTAAAATTAATTTAACTCTCCCATTTCTATAGAGCTATACTGGACTTCTAATATTTTTTTTACAATGTTACCAGCTAAATGTTTCTATTAAAACATCTGGTTTTCAATAGAGGTGTTTGAAACAAGAGTGTAAACCTTTTTTAACAGTTCTACAAAATGGTATAGTCTTTAAATTTTTTTTTTTTTTTTGCTATTTCTGTTGTGCTGGAAGTTGGAGCTTGAAGATGGCACAACATCTTGCAAGCATGACAAAGCTCATGAGGAAAACCCCCAACCCCCAACGGGCAACAGACAAAGTTCAAGCACAAAGGAGGAAATAAGAAATGGAACTATTATTGTTTAGACAGAATGATGTAGTGTTTTTGTGCTCAGACTGATAATACATAGTATTGTCTAATCTCTACAGATTGTGCCATTGGCCAGAAGCCATAGAAAGGTTTATGGCTTCTTTGTTGAAACTTGGTTAGTGTGTTGAGACAGGTGGTCAGTGACCTAGGATTAGAGAAGAAGGATATCAGACAAGACAAACATTCAGGTGGCACTTGCTTCATTACACACACTGCACTGGAGAATATGTATTTTATCTGAAGACCACACCTGGCACATGACACACAACTAATCTGTCTTTAAGAGTGCATATAGTGTAGAGCTCATCCACATGCTTGATCTAACCTTTACTAAACTGCAGTCAATTATAGGCTTAGGGGATTAAATGATATTAGCTTTGGCACAAAACTATTTATCAGTTCCAAAAGGTGTGGGTTAAATGCTGGAGCTTATGCTTTGCATAGAGGTTCCTTATCTGTTTTAGGGTTGGACATCAAACAGCTGTTGGAGCTACAGCACCTACCAGCTGTGCCAAAAACTGTAGGCTCAAATGGAAACTAAAATTAGCAAGTTTAAAGCAACACAGACATACAAATTAAACACTTCCTTTGCTGAAATTAATTACGGCTGGCAAATGATTGTGTGCTGACAGTCTCGGAAACCCATGACATTCTCACAAGTTATATTTTGAGTACACGCCGACATTGTGGTCAGGGCTGCAGAAAGCATGAGCTGAGGTTAACAGCTAGGACCACAACAGGTTTTTGCAAAAGAAACTTTCATAGTTTCATTTACACTAACTTAAAAGAGAGGCATAGGTAAAATATTTCCCCATTTCTCACTCCTGTCTTTATCTTCTGCATTTGAATACGGCTTTAGTTTTGTCCTTAGCAAAAGACTATAGTTATAGTTGTCATTGACAAAACTAAAGCTACTACTGAGCAAAAGATAATTGACTGGGCTGTTTACTGCATTATTTATTAAAAAAGAAAAAAGAATAGATGAAATTAAAGATGGTCTATATAAAGCTATTTAAATATCTTTGGTATGCTGCCCAACTGTATTCTAAAGAAACTAGAAGAATAGATGGGGATGCTGTGACACCTGCCTCATGGAGTAAAGTCGCCAAATACAAAGTTACTACATAGCGGCCATATGTCAACAATCATCCATAAGCAACAGCTACACAGGGGTGTATCCTGGGAAGAGTTGCAGTTGGTCAAACAAATGTAGGTATATCTAAGAGAAATGTTATCAAATAAAAATAAAACAGCAAACCCTTGTCAAAGACAAGCATAATACAAATGGAGAAAGCAAGTCTTGGGACATAAGCTAAGGCCAAGCAACCACTTTTACAAAACACGTGTACAAGACAAAACGCTCACTTCCTTTCCCAATGGGCGCAGTTTCTTTTATTATGCAACGTCTTATGACAACTAAAGCCTCACTGACATTGTGTAAATAAAGCCTTAACACAAACAAAGTTAGTAGCTAGAAAAGACTTCCCTGTAGCAACACCAGTGCAGAGTTTCGGGTTAATTAGCGTCAAAACAAAGTACGCAATCCTGTATTTGGAGGACAGGTGCGGAACAAAAGTGGAGAGGCTACGTACCGGTGAATGAAAAATGAAATTCAGCTTGAAGAAATTCATTGACTTGCTCTGTATCGCCTTATCCGCTTTAAGAGAAGTTCACTGTTTACAAGTGTCAACTAGCGTGTGTGTGCAGGAATCTGACTGAGCACTGACGCGGCACACTAGGAAGGCGGAGCTTCAGCAAAATCATCGTTGGTAACTATAGCAACGCTAACAAGGAAGTCCTGCACAACAGGCAAGAGGCCTCCTTTTCCACAGTTTCCTTCTTATTGTTTCTTTTCTTTCCTCTTTATCAGAAAGAAACCATTTCAGTAGCAGCTTTTTCTCATTCATCAGACAGGACTTCTTTTATATTAAATTAAGAGTTTAGAATCTAAATTAACAGGTGTGGAGTTTTTCGTATGAGAACAGTAGACTACCAAATTAGTCTCGGCATTGTCTCATTATTTCCATGAAAAGCACAGGTGATATTTTATATACATCATTATATTTGTTGACTAAAACTTGCTGAACATCTTACATGATCTTTGTTAATAATGTATGAGGAAATAACCAAAACTAATTTCAACACAGCCTACACTATAGTGACTAAGCTGTTCCTTGGTCATATGAATAGATTTCCTGTTGTTTTTGGAGGTTAGTGAGAAACATGCCTTCAGACAAAGATAAAGATAGGTGTAAACCATGAAATACTTGTAACAAAACAAAGTAACTAAGTATACTTACACTTACTTAGAACAGGATCTTTATTTGTAATAGTTATTTTAATGTTACTTGTAAAGCATATTTTCAATGTGGTACAACTACTTTTACTCAAGTAAGAAACCTGAATGCTCCACCACTGGCTTTAGCTACTATCTAGTTGACAAATAAATGTAGTGTAGTAAGAATAAAACATTTAGCCTAAAGTGAATGGAAATAATGTATAATGTACAAGTATCTCAAAATTTTGCACAAGGAGGTAGCATTAATAATGTTTCATCACTGGATTCTCGTAACACATCTTTTTGATGGTTGTTGCTATAGGAAGTAACCATTACATTATATAAAAATGCAGGCCTCATTAATACAGTGTTCATCTAAAGATCTGTGCCAACTGTGGCTGTCCGCCAGGCCGAGCTTTATGTCACGTTGTACCCATAGGACTGACTTACTTGGATGTATGTGATGTGTCCACTTGGTTCATTTTAAACTGTATGCCTTAGGAAACTGATATCGCTAAATGAGTGATAAGGCCTTATTTCTACTGGGTTGGCAACAATAGAGTTCATAATATCAGTTCATAAAAACTTTGTCAAATACTGCAAGCCATCACATGTTGATAAAGCTGTTGTGCAGTTGCAGTACCAGTGAGCAACACATGAGGACAGTAGGACCTTTTTGAGCCTTCAACACCAGTTTTTCCATCATAAAGAATAAAATGTTTCATCAGCTTGTTTTATAGAAGTCATTATTATACTCATTGGCCATCCAATATACTGCACTATAGCAGATTTTATGCTATTCGTTTGGTCAGATCTAATCTAACAAATGGGACAGATGAGCTTGGGCCTAGTCTCATAAAAAGTGGTTTTATAAGGGAACACTCTGATAATGTTCCATAAAAATGTCTGCTCCAGTGCATTGAAGCCAAGCAGGTATAAAAACACTCTCCCAGGCCACGAATGCCACAGTTTTCCACTTCATGTACTGAAACTACATGGATGTCCCACAAATGTGGTGGAGCGAGCACTCTTGAGCTTGGTCTGTTTCCACAAGTTGTTTTTGAAAGGGTGATTTGCAGCAAACAGATGGACATGAGGTGATCCCCCCCTCCGAGATTTCAGAGTCAGATGTGTTTACACTGGAGGACACTGAGAACTGATCACTGGAATAGCACCTACTTCTTGCATGAGTGAAAGCACACAACAGCAGTTTTTTTAATGTATCCAATAGAGGAAACTATGATCAAAAACTGGGTATTATGTGCTTCAAAGATTGATTCCCTGAAGGTTCCTGTTAGATCTACAGTTCTTCCAACCCCATCATCCCTGATCAGCCAGGCCCTAAAGCTGAGCGGAGATCTACAGCTAGGACCTCAGGGAACTATTTCCACCAGTGAGTTGAGGAACCAGAGCAGAGTGGCATGACAGAGAGGACAGGGTATGCAGCTAGTGTCACCACCACACTGGTCTGGTTTGAGGCCTTGGAAGGACTGACATCACTCTTGGAGAGTCTCATTCTATTTTGCATCTGCAGAGTACGTGGCTGGGGGCTTGGAGTAATCTGTGCCACTACGTTAGTGGTCTTTCAGTGCATCTTTGATCACGCTATGATCAGGGATATGCCACAGGCTGAGGATGTGATTGTGCATGTGGACAGTTCTTCCATTCAAGGCCATGGCCTTTTCTGTGTCATTGTGTATCTTGTGGCTATGGTTTTGGGTTTTTCCTTGTTTACTAGACAAACTCTTTTGTCAGTTGTTCAAGATGACTTTAGCTTAGTAGCTGCTTTCAAGCAGTGCAAATACATGTACATTTTCTGCATATACAGTAAGATTGTGTATCAGAAGTGATATAAACAGTGTTAACAAAACACATAATGAATATTTTTGTTTCTTTATGACTGAATTTCATAATGTATGGTCAACGTTTTTGAACGGCAGCCTCCTCTGGACTTGCACTTTCTTACTATATCCTCTAGGTGGCAATCTAAATACATTTATTGTAGTGAAAGAATCCAGCTGGTTAATTTGCAGAACTAAAACACACACACACACACACACACACACACACACTAATGAGCTCTGTATATGAAGATAGAGTATGTCATGATTAATTTATCCCTGCTAATATTTTTGATGATTGTACAAAAAGCAATCATTTTTCAAATGTGCTTCACACCATAAATTGGGTGGGACAGTCAATTTCTAAATAGGTTTTTTTTTTTAATGTTGTCTGGGAGCTATGGTTCATTTGCTTGTACAGCAAAATACCACATCTGGTATACTTGCATCACAAACAACTCTATCATTCATGTTTTTCATCTGTTTTCTGCTTTTTCTAAGTATTTTTACATTAGAGTGATGAAAGATCTGACCAGTGTGACTTATTTTCCAAGGATGTGGTGGTGGTTGGCACGCGGTCATATGGCAAACTGGCTTCTTGACTGTTGCCAGTTGGAACCATGGTTGTGTGCATGCAAAGCAATTGCTTCTTAATCACACAAGGTCTTACTGTGCAAGAAAAATTATTACGCGCTTCATTTACAAGATGGCTGCTGATGCTCTGAGGGACATAATTTTTTATTGTGATGTGTGACAAAAAGAAAAGGTTCCAGTCCTGCCATAATTGTGTCACCAATCCATCCCATTTACCTTAATTCTGATGAAAATTTTACCTACAATTGACTAGTGAAGCTCCAATGGTATCAGTGTTGAAGTTCTGCACTCAGCCTTACTTTACATTTGCACAAGGGAGTTCCACCCCCTCTTATAGGTGGATTCATGATTTTAAACATGATTGCACCCCCAACCAAAAGGGATTTGGGAACATACAGTGTTTCATGGGATTGTATGTTCACACTGACCTCTGTGAATTTCCAGTTATTACAGATTAGACAGATAAGATATACAGTAATGTGTTAATTAGCTGGAGCTGGATGTTTCCCCCTACTCTTTACACTAACTAAAGCTAATCACCTGCTAGCTCTAGATATGTATAGGAAAGTGGTACATATGTAATCTGGGGGAGTAAAATGACCTAATAAAATAATATAATTGATTTAATAAAAGAATACCTAAGCATTGCAGAATCATTTTCCCAGTTATTAAACCAAATGCAGTGTTACAAATGTGTCCCAGATGCTTTAATTCCAGCCACTGTCACAACCTGGGCAAGTGAAAACATTATCTTTTATTTGGCTCAGACTATCACAAGTCCCATTTTACAACCCACAAATTATGTACCCACAGGAAGAATAAGGCCAATTTTCTGGCCTACACAGCTTCAAGATAAATGTTAATTGGAGGAGCTATTTCTATCACATCATAGCCCTCCTTTACGATAAACTGGCTGAGATTTGTGTTAAGATGAACTGAACTATCATGTTTATGCTGTTTAATAAAAGAAGAGAACAATTCTATTCATTACATAGGTTATACTATAGTTTATACTTTGAGAATGCACCCTTCCTGAGCAATATTAAATTGGAATTTCGAACTTTTAGCAGTGAAAGCATCAGATTTGTCTTTTCTATTGTTAGTTATCCTCTTGCTGAGCATGTATTCTTTTTAATTATTCATTTCACACAGTTTCTCAATCTCAGTTTGACAGAATGAAACATATTTTTGAATGACAATGGTTAGTGGAACAGCTTTTACGCCTATAGTATCTCTTATGTTGCTTCATTGAATCATTTATCCAATATTCATTAGCTTATCGGCTAAACTCACATCCCACTAAAATGTCCCTATTTGGTCTTTTGCCAACAGGGAGGAATTTTGAGCATTAGAGATTTTCTTTTGTAAAATAGAAACCTGACAGGTCCCCAAATGTTACGTCTATAGTATGACCTCTGGTGAATGATAAAAAAAAACAGGCACTAGGTAGATAAATGAACTGCAACGTGCTCTGGCAGAACTGACTGGCAACAGATAACATTTGACTTAAACTCTTCACACCAGCTGCTATACAGAGCAACATGAAAGCTGGTACATACTGTATGTAAAAAACTATATTCCAGCTCCACCATATTCTTTACAGGCTTGACTATAAATGTATGACTGATTTATGATAGCCAGCCAGATGAGATAACCCATGTCTAAAAGAATTTGGATCAAGATCAACATGTGACAGACCTTGTTTTAAAATGGGACATTTTTTAGAAAAATGTCTAAAAAAATAATCTGTGTTCAAAAAAGAAAAATGAAAGTGACAGGATGTAAGTCTGTGTCAGTTCCAGTGTTTTTCTGGAAGCATTTCTTTTAGCCAAAATAAAGCGCTAAGCTGCTCCAGCACTGGGAATGACAGAACAAACCTCTTTCTGTAACACAGAAGAAATAAAACTGTATACATCATTTGATACTGATAGTTTGTTTGTTTAAAAATATTGATATCAAAAGGGCTATAATCAGTTATATATTAACAATGGACATTGTGTCTATGCAAATGATTGCTTGTAATAATAAACCCACAAA